TTACCAAGACAAACCTTAAAGTTTTTATATGAATTTAAATGAAAAAAAAAAAAAAAAAAAAGTAAATGACAAATTGAAGAATTTTCCTTAGACTCTCTGATGAGGATAAGATTCTATTTTTGTGATGAAATTGAATAAACTGATATTTAATCTGGAAACCTATTACAGTATGTTTTCTTTATATATTTAATATGTTTTTCCTATATATCGTGTATATGTTTTTGTAATGTTTTCGATCCTCTCACGGCGCGGTCCCAGGATGCAATTTTTATAACGCAAAGTGCTTTACCGTTTCACTATACGATCACTAAAAGTTTGGTAATTAGCAAATTCTTAAGAGTTTAGTTTCCTCCCTAAGAGGAAGTAGAAACCTTTCACGGCAAGTAGTTTCTTATTTAACAATGGTACGTGAAGTAAAGGCATATTTAACAATATTTATAATTTTTAAATGTCATCTTACTAGATTTAAACTGATGATCTGATAGTTTAGAAAAATCCCAAGTCCACAATTGCCAAATTCATGATGAGTCCAGATCTCAAGATTCATACTGTAATTCCCTTTCAGGCTTTTAAAAGATTATTTCATTCTCAAGCCATGAAATCATGGCTTGAGGATAATAGTGGATTTTGGCTCATCAAGAAAGAAATGCAAAGAGAATAATTTCAGTATCTTTTAAAAAACGTTATTGTTACGAAGAACACAGAAAATATATAAATCAAATATATTTAAAACAGTTCGTTCAGTTGCGGGCCTGCCTCTACCCGAGGCTGGGTGCATTATGAATAAAGACAAAAAAATTCTTAATAAATCATTCTTTATTTCTATCAAAACAGTATCACTCTTCCGAGATCAGCTTTTGTTCGTCCACACGCAAAAATTCGAAAACCTCAGCACGCAGGCTGACGTCACAAACAGCAGCGCCTCGCGACGATTATTACTTCAGTTCATTTCACAACATCCTCCCCCCCTTGAGACTCAGGTTGAGTCTCAAACTCATAACAAACATTATTTAAAAGATCAAGTCTTTTTGGAACTTTTACAAGTCGTCCAGAGGAGGAATATTGTTGCATTCACCATTTTATCAGGTGCAATTCCCTTTTTTAACGTACACCCAGCACTAGAATTAGATTCCTCTGCACCCAGTTTCTTATCAGGAATTATGTTTCTATCATTGGACTGTATCTCCAGAGGAAAGATGCGTTGTATTGGTCGTATAACTATTCCATGCCGGGTCTTAAGTTTAACCGTACGAATCTTTCCATCACGTCCAGGGATCAATTCTGTAATTCGGGCTAAAGGCCAAAATAAACGTTTTTCTGTTATCATCCCCCATCAGTACTATTTCTCCTACTACAGGTTCCCGAGATCGTTTTTCATTATGCTTTTGAACCAGTTGACTAAGGTATTCTTTTCTAAATCGTTGTCTCAGATCATTTAACAATTTAGTTCTATACTTTAATCTCTTATTAAGACTTGACGAATTTAATTCATCAAGATCTTCAACATTGGAATTTCTGTTCTCGATAAGAAACATGGCGGGTGTCAGAGGTACTAATTCTTGCGGATCTTCAGAAACATAAGTTAAGGGTCTAGAATTAATTATAGTTTCACAATCACAAATAATAGTATAAAGTTCTTCATATGATAACACTGATTTACCTAAAGTACGTTTCAGCAATTCTTTTACTGTACGAACCAACCTCTCCCACCAGCCACCCCACCAAGCTGCAGTAGGTGGAATAAATTTCCAGATTATCCTTTCAGTGCCTGTTTCCTTTAATACTTTAGCCCAATTTAGTTTTGATAAATCATTAGATGCACCCCGAAAATTTGTCCCGTTATCACTATAGATTATTCTAGGGCGTCCGCGCCTAGCAACAAATCGTCGAAGCGCCAGGAGAAACGCATCAGTAGAAAGAGAATTTACGAGTTCAAGGTGAATGGCACGGTACACAGCGCAGGTGAACAGCGCAGGTGAACAGCGCGATCCACACCTTTCCTCCATATTTTTAAAAACAGCGGTCCGGCCAAATCAATCCCTATGATTTCAAATGGCGCACAATCCGTAACTCGGTCTGGTGGCAGAGGTGTCGGTTCGCTTGACATAGCCTTAGTTTTAAATCTTTTACAAACGATACAGTTAAAGAGGACATTTTTAATGGCCTTTCTAGCTCTGACTATCCAAAATCTTTCTCGTAATATGCATTGCATCATCTGAAGACCAGCATGACAGTTCTTATTATGCACATTTCTGATTAATAACTTAGTGAAATCACATTTTTCTGGTAACAGTATTGGATACAGAAAAGATTCATAGTCATCTCTATTTAGTATTCTCGTTTTAACTCTTAGAATACCATCATCATCAATGAGCGTTTCAATAAAATTATAAGATTTCTTATCAGTCAGATAATAATTTTGAACAAAACGAATTAAAATTTTCTCAGAATTTTCAATTTCATACTGTGAAAGTTCAATGTTTCCATTCTTTTCAGAACCACCTTTACAATTATTTACAAATCTAAATATCCATGCAAATACTCTAATCATTTTATCATAATTGGATACACTGATTCGATGCCAAGGGGGTGCGTCTTTTGATAGATCAATATTCACTATTTTTATCTTTTTTCTCTCCAATTCTACTTTTTCATGCAAATAAATAATCTCACCAGTGGGCCAGTTTTCAGGGCCTTCTCGCAACCACAAGGGGCCTTCCCACCATCTAGACCGAAGCATTTGCTTCGCAAAACATCCGCGCGACAACAAGTCGGCAATATTTAGTTTCCCTGGGATATGTCTCCATGAATGACCTCGCGTCAACTCTCGAATCTCTTTAACCCTATTTTCGACGAAAACGGACCAATTTCCTTGCTCTGTTATCCACCAAAGGGCAGTGGTTGAATCAGACCAGAAGGTAACTTTTAAATCGGGCAAACTGAGAGCCTTTGATAATAGAATTTGCAAGTCTAGAACCTATACAACAGGCCATTAATTCTAAGCGAGGAATGCTTAAAAGATTTCAAAGGCGATACTCTAGACTTTCGCCCGTACGAGATTTATTTTTACTTCAGAATTAAATATTGATCGAACAAAGACGCACGCTGCATACGCCCCCTTGCAAGCATCCACAAATATATGTAGTTCAGACGTGTCATTCATAAGCAAGTATCGAGGCAAAGTAACATCTTTCAAAACATTAAGTTCTTTAAACCAGTTCAAAAATATATTTACATCATTCGGAGACAATTCATCATCCCATGCAATTTTCACTTTCCACAATTTTTGCAACAACAGTTTTGGAAGCAATGTAGTTGATGTTAATAAACCAATAGGATCAAAAATTGTCTGCACAATTGCCAAAATTGTCCTCTTTGTGATTTTCGTATCACAGGTCAATGTATCTGTGTCTGTGCAGCACCTCAGCGTATCATTATCCAAATTCCCCCCAAAACGGAAGTATCCCCTGAATGTTTGTCAACATTTGTACCAGCCACATTGCTTTCATAACCGCGCAAGTTAAAACATCCATTTGACATGATTAATTTGGAATGTTCAATAAACGTATACTGTTTATGAACAGTATACGTTTACTTCTTCTGGTAAGCAACTTTCCACTAAGGGAGTCAAAAAATCCCCATATTTTTCTTGGGTTCTTCCCAAACTTTCCAACGCTCGCAATTTTCCTTCTAGTTCATCATACAGTGAGGGTAGATATGTTTTTGCTCTTCCGGTTACAGCGTTCTTCATCACTAGGCTTAACGAGTCTCTCACATAGATTTGCACAAGTAAATCTTCGCGTCCAAAGCGCTCTCTTAGTTGTTCGATGGCTTTAGGATAATTAGCTGCCGTTGCAGGGAAGCTAAGGACTAGGCGTTCTGCTTTCGATTTGGGTTCCATGGCCTGCAATAGATACTGCATTTTATCTTCATCGGCGATACTTTTGTCATCGTGGATTTCCTGGAACTGACTCCAAAAAGTCAGGTAATCTTTAGCTTCACCACTGAATTTTTTAAGCTCAATTTTAGGCAATTTAAATTTCCTCGATTCGGAATTATTTGGAAGGAAGAGGAGAGGCTTGTATTTCCGCATCTATTTGAGCACACTGTTCTAGAAACTTATCTCGGATAATTCCTCCGCTTCTTGAAAATCATCACTAAATAATTTTTCTCCATCTTCAGTCTGCAGAATTTGCTGCGAGATAGCACTCTGGCATACGTCAAGTCTCTGGAATTTATCACAAAGTTGACACTTCAAAATCGAAAGTATTTTTAAATCTCTTACTTCTTTAGTTAATTCACTTTTCGGTTTTCCCTGAGGTTTGCGAAAACGCAATTCTAAGTCCTTTTCTTTGAGCCTTTAAAGCGATCAAATCCATCTTCAAAGTATATTCAAAATCGAAATTCAATATCAAAAGTTCAATCGGAAAATTCTAATTCAAAGCACCCGGTCCCGCCGAGGGTACCACTATGTTACGAAGAACACAGAAAATATATAAATCAAATATATTTAAAACAGTTCGTTCAGTTGCGGGCCTTATGAATAAAGACAAAAAAATTCTTAATAAATCATTCTTTATTTCCATCAAAACAGTATCACTCTTCCGAGATCAGCTTTTGTTCGTCCACACGCAAAACATTCGAAAAAACTCAGCATGCAGGCTGACGTCACAAACAGCAGCGCCTCGCGCCGATTATTACTTCAGTTCATTTCACAACAGTTATGATAACTGTTTGAATATATATTGTTTTAAATTTATATTATTTTAAACAACTGAAAATGAATAAATTAATAGTAAGTTTAATTTCAACAAGGGATCTTAATAATTCCGAATAATTACAAGTTTGGACATTCAGAGTTCTTCTGTGTTATTTCAGTTCCATATTATTATCTTGAAAGTTTAAAATATTTTCTTAGTTACAAAATAAGAATATGATGCGACTTCTATTCTTACGAATTAATCAATCCTTTTTGACTCAAAAATTTGATATCATTTTAGATTTCATCCCTGTGACATTCATTTTACCTGCTGATTATAATATGTTTGTAGAAGAATTTCGTAAAAATCCATCAAGCACTTGGATCATGAAACCCTGTGGGAAGTGTAAGTAATTAGCTTTTGTTAATAATGATGAAAAGCAGAAAATTTCTTTGTGAAATGTTTAAAATGATTCAGTATAATAATATGAGTTTTAATTTTTGACAGCTCAAGGTGTGGGAATTTTTCTTATCAATAAGCTGTCACAGTTAAAAAGGTGGTCTAGAGATAGTACAAGGTTAGTTCTAATTACAGAATTTTCATTAGTTATGTAGTTTTCTCTTGCTTTACAATAAATGCTTTTATACATTGTTCAGCAAAGATTCATAGCTATTTTTATTGGAGATTATGTTATTAATAAAACTAGGAATAGCCAATAATAATAAACTAATTGCTTAATAGATAAAATGCTTAAGTAATATGTATTTTACAATTAAATTGATTAAAAAATATTAGTTTTATAGTATTATGTACTGTAAGACATTTTTTATAGATTTCTTACAATAAATATAGTATTAATTTTTATATAGTATTTGTACAATATTTGATAGTAAATAAATTTGAAATTTATCTTCAATGAGAAATAAATTTAATGACTGTTATTATCCCCCCTTTATGGTATGTGTTTAAAAATCTATACAATTTTTGCTACCTGACTTTAAAAACAAGTCCTCTCTAGTCACTATAGATTTGATGGATTTTTGAAAAACATTTTTAATGCAGATGCTTTTTGTAATTCTAATTATTCGCACTGATCTGAAGAGTATTCACAAGGCATGATGCTGTGTCATGAAAATAGGCAATCCATGGTTACCAAAATGTGTTTATGTGGCAACCCATACTTTTACGGGGATGCAGCAGATGAGCCCTAATTGCATCTTCAAATTTAATTGTTGTTAGTATTTGTTTTTGTTGCAATGAGTACATTTTTTTTTTCTTGTAAGGAATCATAACAGGATTGTAGAGTTTGCGAGTTGATGAAAAAGAAAAGTTTGCATTTCTTCAAAAATATGGTATTTTGCTTAACTATAAAGAATGCAAAAATTTGCATTTCATGAAGTTGTATTTCATAAATGATCAAATTTTATGGATGTGCACTGATGCCAGATTTGTGTAATTATCTGATGCATATAATTTTACATTTTCATAGAAAATCAACATTGTGCACAGTGCCATATTTGTTCAATTTGATTTCTTTTAAGCAAAAAGATTTTCTTTTTTTTTTGGTGTGCACATGTTGCACAGTGCTAACTTCTGCACTTTGCTGAGTTTTTGCGAGTCTGTGATATTTTTTGAAACTAAACCCAATTACATGGGAAGAAGAGTACCCCCCCCAAAAAAGGCATAAGTGTTTAATTATGTTTCTTGCATTTTTAATTTTGCCAAATGGTTGTTGTTTTATGTATTTCTTATTGCACTACCATTTATGAAAACGACTCTTCTCTTTCACATCTCAGCATGATGAAAAATTAGTTGCCAGTGATTGATGATTTTCAGGAGTGGAGTTTAGATAATCAGAAAGTACCATATCTTCTAATCTCCAGTAATACAAACAGAACTGCGCAACATTTTTATTATTCTGTGATCTATTAAAATTAAATATAATAACTATAATAATTAGAATGTGTAATACATAAGCTGCCAATTTTTACGCTTTCACTGAGAGACTTCCAGTTTTTCATCACATCTCCTTGCAGATCACTTAATCTTCTGGATTTAAATTTTTAACCCTTACTAAGGAAAATGCTTTCTACAAATGATTGAAATTTATTGAATTAATGAAAATTAAATTTTGAAAATTCATTTCTCCCACTCTTTGTGACTTTTGGGAAATTTTATTTGATCTGAAGTGTCTTAATCTGCTATACACATTTGTAGAACTTTGAAGATTCAATGAATGTTTAATCAGTTAATGTTTGTATTAATTTTTTATATCAATATGTATGGTATATTATAAAGTAATCGTATTTTCTTTTTATGATGAGATAGATGATGAAGGATTTAAATGCAGATAAACCAACAAATCTTTATGTGCCGTACCTATCTACACATCAAACATCGCATGTACACTGCCCGATCTAAAACTTTTATATTCAGTTGTTCTCTTTTCTCTCCTATGTAACCTATTGACATATACTTTACTTACCTTGGATAGTGGCATCATCTTTTAATCAAAATATAAGTTATTATGATTATGTTGTAAGAGTTCACTTAGTGCATAGCATTTGGCATTATCTGTGGTAGATAATTTAGTATATCCCTTATGATTGTATGGCCGATTCTCTGTATATGTATCTGTGTGTCTCTGTATATATATATATATAATCTATTCAATTATTTTACGTTAAAGCACTTACTTTAGTGCATTATTGACCATTTTGGCTGATTTCTTTTCTCATGCTTAGCATTGATACTTGGTGTTTTCCTTCTTCAAACTTTTTTTATTTTGTTCAAGTTTCTTTCCTCTTTACACTAAATTTCTGCTTAGAAAAGGAAATCTCCCCCCCTTGTTTTCTTTCTTTTATTTTCCCCTGAAACCCTTTAAAAAATAGAAACATAAAATAGAAAGGAATGCAGAAAAAATTAGTTATATTTACTGCCTCTTAAATAACTAACTGAATTAAGAAAAACTAAAATAATTAATAAACATTATAATGAAAAGAAGAATCATATTACTTCATGAAAGAAGAATCATATAATAGATTATATATATAGGGATATACTAAATAATCTACCACAGTCTGCTTTACTTTTCTCATTTATATTGAGTGAAAAATCTTGAGAGAAAAAAAATTAAAATATTAAATATATGTATAAATATGAAACTTAAAGCATCTAAAGTTAAAATTAAAATGTATATAAGTATAAAATTACCAAAAAAGTAATTTAAAAATTCTTTCTTCTTTTTAAACTTTCTTAAGTCATTGACTTTCTTTAACTTTTTCTTTAAACTTTTCTTTTTTGTTTCTTTTCTATGTATCTCTTCCTATTTCTGCTCACTATTGTAATAAATGTCATATGAGGTAGATTACTTTTTCACAGGGATTCCAATATTAATAATTCTTTATCCTTTGACTAAACAGCAAGCATAAAATTAAAAATGTTATATTTAGCATAGCAAGGAATGTTTCTTTGGAATGCATGAATTTTGAATCCACATGAATTTATTTTAATAGTAGCATGAATGCCTGTCAGCATTCATGCTACTATTAAATTCTTCTGCACAAGGCTGTCATTCTGCACAAGTGGTCAATAAATTGGATATGACACTTAGTTTCCAGAATGACAATGACTAGGTATATTATTAAAAAATAAGGAATAGAAGAATAAAAATATGAAAAACTCAGAATGCCAGCTAAGTGTTCAGTGTAGCTTGGGACAGGCTTCCAGATTAAAAAATACCTTTTCCAGAAATCCAGTTTCTTTGTTTCCATCATGAGGAAAAGAATTAGATATATCCTAAATAAAAACAATAGATGTAATAAGAATGGAAGAATTAAAAAAACAAATATTAAAATAATATTGTGGAATGAAAATAATATGTGATAATATATGACAACCTAATGTTATCCACAGCTCGAAGTCTAAATGTTAGAAATGAAACTTAGAACTAACTATTATGTCATTACAGATAGTATCTGAGCTTCTTATGATGTCGCTATATCTCGATAATATCTGTGCTTCTTATGACATCTTATGATGTCACAATATTATTTACAATTTAAAATAATAGATTATAAGTTAGTATGTGACACCATATTATGGTAATAATTGTAGTAAGTAGAAAATTTATAAACTATATAAATGTAATGAAAAGATCATAAATTTTGTAAATAGTTGAATTCTGGAAGGGTTTTTTTCCCCTATGTTTTATGGTGTATGGATAGAAGAAAAGCTTAAATAATTTTCTTTTAATTTAATATTTATTTTTCTTTTAGTTTTAACCCTGCAGTTGTGAAAGAATCATATGTTATATCTCGTTACATAGATAAGCCTCTATTAATAGGTGGAAGAAAATTTGATCTACGAATTTATGTATTAGTAACATCTTTCAGACCATTAAAAGCTTATATGTGAGTATTAGTATTTTAATATATTGTTTAGTTTGTAGTAATAAGTGTTTCATTTTTTTATTACAATTTGAAGTTATGGTATATTTTTGACGAAAAATACAGTCAAAAGTCGTTAATTCGGACACCCATAATCCGGAATGATCTATAATCCGGACCTCAAAGCTACAAACTTTCTGCGCATGCGTCGCGTTCACGCATGCGCACAGGCGTTTACGAGAGCGCGTAAGACCCTTACGGCTGCGAATATGTTTGTGCGCATGCGCGTTTAATGTGTAACGGAGTTATACGCTAAGCTAAAGTTATCTAATTCAGTTAATGTTGCAGATTGCGTTGTTCCTTAATCTTCGAATTGGATCCGAATTATTATTTTTTGCAGACTGTTAGAGCAATTTTATAAAAGTAAGCTTGAACTTTCGATTATGTCAAATAGAATTTCCGATATATATTTACTACAAAGCGAAAGTATGTTTTGAAATCCGAAATCTGTTTATCAATTTCACGCTGCTCTGCGGCAGAGGGGGGGGCAGAAGAAACGTCATTATTAGATTATGATAGGTTAGAAAGATTATGTCAAATAGAATTTCCAATATATATTTTACTAATATGTAATTTGTATCTACAAAGCGAAAGTATGTTTTGAAATCCGAAATCTGTTTATCAATTTCACGCCGCGGATTGGAAGTTGATCTGTCAACACTATCCTTATCTTCAGAGCAGATGTTTTTATTTTATTTGGATTATAATTCCGTACTAAGTTTAGTATTTCATCTCGATGTACTCCGTTTTTGATATGATTTAAATCAAGTTCCTCGTCATTATAATTCGCTTCCGATAGTGAAGAAAGTGACCCAGAGGTTATTGAAAACGAAAACATTCGATTGACAAATTAGTCGGTATTCTCAACACAGCAATTATAGGACTTGAACGGCGGAACTTTGTAACTAAACAAGAAATTATGTCTGTTTAATAGAATTAAAGAGAAAAGTATTATCACATGAAAGGAAGCAACTTACATTGAAGGAAATGTTTAATAAAGTAAAACAAAATAATATTAAGTTTTTTCTTTTTGTAAATTTTGATACCCTTTAGATCATAATTGTTCTTTATTTCATAAATTACGGTTTCATATTTGTAATTTTGTAATTTTTGCATGCCATCTTACCAGATTTAAACTGATGATCTATAATCCGGAAAAATAGATAATCCGGAATCGCCGAAGTCCCGACGAGTCCGGATTAACGACTTTTGACTGTAGTTCCTAAAATTTAAGTTACATGGATTTTCATTACAAGTGAAAAGGAAATACAGTCAAAAGTCGTTAATTCGGACACCCATAATTCGGAATAATCTATAATCCGGACATCAAAACTAAAAACTTTCTGCGCATGCCCCGCGTTGACACATGCGCAGAGGCATTCACGCGTGCGCGTAAGACCTTTTACGACTGCGCATATGAGTGTGCGCAAGTGCAGAATACGTTTTCGCGTGCGCATTTTATGTATAATGGACGTGTAAGCTAAATAATTATCTATTTCAGTTAATGTTGATGATTGCGTTGTTCCTTAATTTTCGAATTGCATCCGGCTTATTATTTTTTGCAGACTGTAAGAGCAATTTTATAAAAGTAAGCTTAAACTTTCGATTATATCAAATAGAATTTCCGATATATATTTGTTAATATGTAAAGGATCTAAAGCGAAAGTATGTTTTGAAATCCGAAATCTGTTTATCAATTTCACGCTGCTCGGCGGGGGGAACGCCGCGCCGCGGCGGGCGCGTAATGAATTGGAAGTTGATTTGTCAGCACTATCCTTATCTTCAGTGCAGATGTTTTTATTTGGCTTATAATTCCTTACCAAATGTAGTATTTCATCTCGATATGCTCCGTCTTTGATATGATTTAAAGCAAGTTCCTGGTCATTATAATTCGCTTCCGATAGCGAAGAAAAGTGACAGAGGTTATTGAAAACAAAAAAATTTCGATTGACAAATTAGTCGGTGTTAATATGTAAAGGATCTAAAGCGAAAGTATGTTTTGAAATCCGAAATCTGTTTATCAATTTCACGCTGCTCGGCGGGGGGAACGCCGCGCCGCGGCGGGCGCGTAATGAATTGGAAGTTGATTTGTCAGCACTATCCTTATCTTCAGTGCAGATGTTTTTATTTGGCTTATAATTCCTTACCAAATGTAGTATTTCATCTCGATATGCTCCGTCTTTGATATGATTTAAAGCAAGTTCCTGGTCATTATAATTCGCTTCCGATAGCGAAGAAAAGTGACAGAGGTTATTGAAAACAAAAAATTTCGATTGACAAATTAGTCGGTGTTTCTTGACACAGCAATTATAGGACTTGAACGGCGGAACTTTGTAACTGAACAAGAAATTATGTCTGTTTAATAGAATTAAAGAGAAAGTATTATCACATGAAACGAAGCAAAACTTAAACAACTTACATTGAAAGAAATGTTTAATAAAGTAAACAAATAAATATTAAGCTTTTTCTTTTTGCAAATTTTGATACCCTTTAGATCATAATTGTTCTTTATTTCATAAATTACGGTTTCATATTTTTAATTTTAGAATTTCTGCATGCCATCTTACGAGATTTAAACTGATGATCTATAATCCGGAAAAATCGATAATCCGGAATCGCCGAAGTCCCGACGAGTCCGGATTAACGACTTTTGACTGTACTAATGTTTTCTAATTTAGTAGATACACAGCTCTGTTTCTTTAAGGCTTGTGAAGAGAAATTTGTGAGTATAAATGGGTGAAAAAGGGGAAGGAAGTCTTTATTGTAACATAAATAATATATTCGGCTAGAAATTTAATTAATTTTAGTGATAATTTTCAGGTTAACTGTCTTGAAATTATGATCAAATTCTATTGTTTGTATTTAGTCATCTAATAAATTCTTTGCATGCTATTTTTAGTTATGAAAAGTAATTTGTCAATAATTATGTAGATTGATGTAACCAACATTCTGATTTTGCCAGTAATATTTTTTTGCTAGTGAAAATGGGTAAATTAAACAGAGTGCAAGCTGTGCATTTCTTCCAATATTTTGAAGGTTAGTTGTTTTATTTCATGAAAATTTTTGTTTAGCTATTTTTGATTGAACCCTTGTAATTGTAGTTCAGTTGTTGTTATGTTTAAAATACAAACCTGAATTATAGATTTCACATTCTTTATTTGGGGGTCTGTGGGCCTTAAATTTCTTAAAAATATCTAATTATTTATTACAATTTAATGTTTATTTATTATTTATATTAATTTCTGTTATTCTTTTGGAATACTTAACAAGCATTTTTATGTAATTAATTTTCTGCATTAATTTCTAATAAAGATTTGAATTTCTTTTCTCTTTTCAATACTTTTTATGTATTATAAGAATAGTAAAAATTGCTTTATTCAACATAAGTGAGCAGACTCAAGTGGAATTTTGGAATAATATTCAACTATCTAGATTATGCAGCTAGTGATATTTTACTATATGTAAAATTTGATGATATGTAAGAAAACCATAAATTCTTAAGGGAATAGCTGGGGTTATTGGTTGGAATATAAATAAAGAGAAAATTAAGATCTTAAGATTAAATTGAAAGAAAAAGGGAATTAGTTAAAAATGATTTGAAGAGAATAATCTGTTATTTTAATTATTCTATTAAAAAATTCAGGGAAAACTGATAAAGAAGTCATGCCTTAAACCAGGGGTGGTCAACCTTTTTGAGAAGAGTACCATTTTCTGAAAAAAAGATATTATGCATGCCACTTCCAACTTTTACAACATATTAAAAAATATAGAAAGGTGAAAAAATGTTAGTTTTAGCCTGATTATTGGATTTTTACACAAATAGCACATTTTTTTTTATATGTAAGTCTGTGTAGATTAAAAAAAAAAAAAAAAAAAATAATATAAAGCAAAAGTACAAACTTAGATTTTGTTGTTAATAAATGTTTTTAAAAGTTCAGTCACTTAGGCTATGTATAAAATAAAAATGAATAATCTGAAACATATAATTCTAAATGATTATGAAACAGTGAGTACTTAATTAATGGGCCTTTGAATCTGTAGTTTTTGCTTACTAAGTCTTTTATTAGGGTTAATTCTTGAAGATACTAACAGAATTAGGTAAGCTAACAGAATTAGGTAACAGAATTAGTAATCCCCTAAAACGAGAGTGTGCCCTTTGGTGTGTTGAGATGAGAATTTTTTAACTGCTTGATTAATAATGTTGGGTGAAAAGTCCCTGTCAATAGCTATTGCTTTTCGGAATCTGTAGTTTTTGCTTACTGAATCTTTTATTAGGGTTAGTTCTTGAAGATGATAACAGAATTAGGTGCTCTAAGTGCATATTAGTTAATCTTGAACAATATTTTGATTTTATTATGTTGTTCATAATAGAAGACATTTGTCCACAAACATATGTTGGTCCAAACCTACAGCAATACCTGACAGTCAAATCATGTAAATTTAGAAAATTTCTTATTCGTACAAATTTCTAAAATTCAGTATAACTTGGATCACTTGCAGTTGAAATAAGTTCTTGAAATTAAGAAATGGAAGAGATTTGCAAGTCTCAAGTTCAAAAGTGAACTGAATAGCAGGATCAATGGAATTCCACAATATAAAAATTATCATTCGTGTAATGCACTAATATGCTTAATTGCACATTGTCTGTGATGCCCCAGCTTTCATCCAAAGTTAATGAAAAGTGTTTGCAGTATTGTGATGTAGGGATAATAAGGAAATTAAGATACAATAACACACCGAACAAAGATTAACTTAGAAGCCAGACAACAAAAACCAGCGTTATATTCTCAAATTTTCACAGAACTAGTTTCGATGATTTTACTGAACCATCATCCTCAGCAGCAAAAGTACAAATGAGCGAGACAAGGTATAATGATTAGATAAGACAAGATAAGAAAGCCTGGATAGGAGATAAGCTACTGGCGCCATCTGTTGATGAAACGAGAACTAAATTTCTTTAAAGG